TAGCTCTGGTGTGTTGGCAGCCCACTGGATTCACACTTGAGTTATCGTTAGCTTTTAGGTTAACACACCCTTCGTAAGAATAGAAGAAATGTGTATCTTGGTTTGTCCTTGGTTGGTCTACAGAAACAAAACAACTTGTTCTACAGAATCAAACAGTTGTGAACAGAAAGGCAGCATGCCCTCTTCGTAAAACACTCTGGAAAATAGACCAGTATTTGCATTAGGATCCTGATGTGTGGGTTTTTAAGAGCACCTCTTTGAGCTGGTTGTGATACAATAACAAATAGTGCAGGGTCAGGCATGATGTTGCAAATGAGTATGTTTTGTTTGAGTATGGATATATGAAGGAGAATGAGAGATTGGTGTTAACTGAAGGTGTAGAAGGCCAATAAAACAGTTTTAAACCAACTTTATAACAGAAGTTCCCTAGATTGATATTCATTAACAATACATGTTGCTGATGGGTAGTTCTTACTCGTTCCTAGTCACTACCACTCCATATTCAAAGCAATTAGTCTGTAACAAGCTCATTATAAATTAGTTGTGAGCACACAGTACCACAGAGCTGGTGCCATGTATTTAGCACTGATAGCTGTGGTCCTTGATGGTGAGATGTTCAAAGCTGTCACAAGTGCCTTTTCTTGTTGCTTAGCAGCTTTATTCCTCCTGTTCAGCTTTTGCTGCTATTGAAAGAAAAGCGAGTGGGGTCTTTTCCAAATCTCAAGGTTGCACTTCATCAGTGACTAATAATTCACCAACCTGTGCCCTTATGTTTAAGGCCTTTGTTCTTATCTCATATCTAAGCTGTGTGCCGTAACAAGAGGCACCTGGAACCCACCTCTAGCTCACACAAGTTCTCCTACTAATTTCACAAGGATAAGAGGCCTGAATTTGGGCCTTGCACATTTGGCTTAGGAACGCAGTTGGCATGAGGCCTCAAAGCTGTTCTGAGCAGTAGCAGTACTGTTTTGACTGAGCCACTTGGTACAAAAATGCATGTACAGTGTTTAGTAGTCATGCTGTATCAATTTGCTTACATTCGAGTTCATAAGAAACAATTAAATGCTGCTGCTGCTTCTATGGGTGCAAGAGCTTCTACTTTGGCCACAGACAGTTAAGGTTTTCTGACTGTGGAGCTAGTGATAAACTGATGAACCATCAGATCGTGACTGTTAAGCGGATAGTGCTGTTCCAAGTTTACCTTGAGTAAGGGCCGTTTCTTATAGAGGTACAGATTGGACAGATTTCACCAAACTTTTTAAAAAGTGAAGAGGAATATGTGGATATGTGTCACCAAATTCTGTTCACTTGAAGATGAACTGTTTGTACTCTATTTTTAAGCATTATAAATTAAAAAAAAAAAAAGTTAAGGTTTTAAATGCTAAGAAATGTGTGATTTGTATCCTTGATGTACAGATCGCTTTAGCGTTGGGATACTTGCCTCATGATTGATAGCGTGAGGAGTTTTTTGTTGTGATGACATGTGCATGGTAACGTAATCCTCTGTAACTAGTGAGTTGACCAGCTGTTGAGTTGAGTTTTTTAGATGTAGAAAGAAGAAATGTAGTTTTAATGAAGCTGTTTGAAATATAAAAGTAATAAGACTATTAAAATTCTTATACGTATGTAAATGGGTATGAGTTTAGCCTTTTCCAAAGAAATATGCTAATCTTTTTCAGTAAGGGTAGAGGCAGTTCTATTTTAACTTGTTGTGTGTTTATCACAATGTATGTAACTGGTCTGTTTAAAAAAAAAAGCACAAAACACCAGTGTATTGGTTTAGTTACAGTGAGATTTTGGCTGGTTAAAGTTGAAGAAAGAACATAACAAAGCTGTTCTCCATTAAAACTTTTCTTGCCTTGTGTGTCTTTTCACTTTCACCCTGTTTTTCGCACTTGGTGTTTAGTTTTGGTTCATTAGCTGTTCTCAGTAAATCAGGAGGAATTATCTTTCTAACGGTTTCACAAACAACTTCACGACTATGACAGATCCAGTTTCTATAGGGCTGCTGGAATTATTTCAAGAGTTGTCTTAGAGTGAGACTACCTCTTTCCAAAGCTTTTTTTTTTTTAAGAAAACAAACTTGTTGTGCTTTAGAGGCACATACAAATATGTGTTTCCATATCCTCTTTAGCTATGATTGCCATTAAGCATTTTGGCGACTAGACTAGGAAAAGGCCCTAGTAGTTACCAGGATCTGCTCCTTTGAGAGCATTTATCAGGCAAGGGAGAGAATAAGGGAAATACTTCACCACCTGAAGTTTGCGAATGGCTTCCTTGGTATGGGCAGAGGGTCTGCAGGCACAGTTGTGTCCATGAGTGATGATAGTAGACAAATGCGTATTTATTCCTTCAGCTGTTGTTCACTTCAGTTATTACTTTTCTGTCATAACAGAAGTAATACAGAGATGTTTCTGTGCTGCGATCTTCATGTATTTTGAGATCTTCTGATCACTGTCCACTTAAATATGAAATAATGAGTCATGATAGGTATGTGGTGTCATTAACTGCGCAATAGTTGTGTTGCAGTCCTTGACATCTGTCAAATCTAGGATTAAAGATACACCAAAGTCAGTGCAGGTGTGCACCTGGCCACAGAAGCCAAGGGAAGGATGGAGATTCTTCTCCTGTGCATGGCTACCAGCACTGCTGTAAAGTTAATTAGTTAAATACATGTTGTTGATCATTCATCAAGTTGCTATCCATTGGAATTGCTTAAATGACAGTAAAAATAGGACTAGTTTGTGGTGTTCGGGATTTTTATTTTATTGTGTTTTTTTTTTTGCTTTTAATACTTGAAATAGTGGTTGCCATTCTTCCATCTGACAAGGATTTCTAATCCTTTCTTATGGCAAAACTTCGGTATTTCTTGTTGGCCTTCTTACAGGTTTTGAGTGTCTTTAAGGCTTGCTTTCTGTTGGTAAATGGAATGGAAAAGTCAACAGCTGTATATAGTATCCTTCTCACAGGTTAGACATATACTGGTTTTTGTAATCATCTTTGTTTCTCTTCTAGAACTTTAAAGACTGTGAAATACTTGCATTTTTAAATTGCTGGTTTTAATGGTAATTATGTTCTGTGGGGTTTTTTTTTCCTACACAACTAGTCATACAGAATCTTTACACTTGTCTGTTAAGACGTGGTCCTGTTAGGTTTACTTTCTTACTCCTTATTTTTCACTTCACAGAAAACTGATAATTGGGAAAAAAATATTGGCTGTTACAACAACACATTGCTGTAGAAAATGCTGTCAGTTCTTGAAATTAAGTTGCTGATCGAGTTAGTCTTGAATATTTCAGATTTCTTTTCAAAGTTATGATGTTCTAAACCGTGGAATTTTCTATATTTTATCACACTAGATAATTGCAAGAGAACAGTAAAACATTCAGGTTTTAATGAAATAGCAATACTCTACTTTTTATTTGGCCCAAGAGTGTCCCAGGGCTATAGTTAAATAAACTGAAAGAAGGGAAATTTCTCTCTGCCATTTCTTGGAAGATTAACTTCAGTTTATGGAGAGCAGCATTAAAGTCCTTTATTTTTTCTGTTGAGACCATTCATTTTCTTCACAGAGATATTTTAAGCATGGAAAAAGTCAACTCAAGGGCTTTACAATCTTTTTCACTGCATTTGCAATTCATTATTTCAGCAACATTCCTCCTTATGCAAAAGATGGCTACAGATTGTTCTTTTAGCAGCATAAAGGCATGATACAGCTGCTGCCTTGTCTGCTTTTAGTTTATTATGTAATGCACATTCACTTCTATAATTGATAATAATCAAAAATGCTAAATGCACGTACAAGACATGTTGGAAGATAAGTGGTCCACAGGTATTTTTGCTCCTCTGTGGAACTGCTAATTCAACTGAAACCAGAAGATCTAAAGGGACTTTTAATAAACAGGGAGCACTGCTAGCAGGCCTCTCTGTAATTATCCTGTTAAAACAGAGTAACATCTGTATTAGCTGTACAAGTGCACAATGGGAGGGCACATTATGTTCTTTAATCCTGTCTGGGAGCATTATGAAGTTAAAAGGATAAAAATTTACCAACTCTTTGTTTTAAAGTGATAGTTAAAACCTTTTCGTTACCTTTCTTCTTGCTGGATTTTATGCTACGGACCCTGCCTCTAGCCCTCATCACAGAGCTTTTCTTGCCTTTGGATCATTTATGCAAGGTTTTGTCTTTGACTTTGCTGTGAAAAGATGGCTGTGTCTTGAAGGCCATTAGTACAATTCTTTTTCCCCTGTGTGTGTAAAGCTCTGAGAATATTAATTTTATGTACAAAAGACATGTAGCATTTAGAACTGTGTGTTTTGAATTTAGTTGCAAAAAGCAAGCTCATTGGCCTGTGTTTTATGAGTAAGGAGTTACTATGCATGGCAAAGGCCACACAGGAGCGAGAGGAGATTATTCCAGCCTTCTGAGTGCTTGCAGTGTGAGCCAGGAGAGTGTATTGGCTTAAATAATGTAGATTTCTCTTTTCCTCTTTACCCCTGAGGGAGTCTGATTTCCTGATCACCTATCTAGCCATATGCTGTAGCTGTTGCCAGGAACTCCGAGCAGTGTTGCCGCCAGCTAAAATTACTTGTTTTCTGAAAACTGAATTATGTTGAGAATTGTCTTAAATTGCTGCACTGGCAACATCACAAGCTTTCGTGTACCCACACACACACACACACAAAATTATAGGTAAAAGCAGCCTTACCTTGAAATTGAGCTTAGAAACTGCTTGAAGCAGTGAATTTGATCCAGATACTGAGAGGTGTTCTACAGCTGCCCATTGCTCCCTCTTTGTTCTCTTTCCAGTGCTTTTCTCAGCTTCTTTGTGCTCTGGCTAGTATAGCACAATGTTGATAAATACAAAGTAAACATTTACAAAGAAAGTATACTGTCTGCTCCTTGCTATTTTGTACCAGTTAGAGTGAAGACCTAGTATAGCTAGTAAAAGCTTGTAATATATTGTGTTAACAACTCTCTTTTTCTTTCCTCTTGAAACAGGATGGAACTGAAATACGGATATACATTGACTGAGGAGTTGGAATAAGACTGAGTCCTGCTCTGTAATTTGTATATACCTGGACCATGAACTTGCTATTTGACTTTGTGCTTTAGGAACCTTTGTAGTAATTGTGTGAAGCTGTTGGGAAACATGGCATTCTCTCCATGGAAGCTGTCCTCTCAGAAACTCGGCTTTTTTCTCGTGACTTTCGGTTTCATTTGGGGAATGATGCTTCTACATTTTACTATTCAGCAGCAAACACAACACGAAAGCAGTTCAGTCCTGCGTGAGCAAATTTTGGATCTCAGCAAAAGATACATCAAAGCATTAGCTGAAGAAAATAAAAATGTAGTTGATGGACCTTATGTTGGGACAGTGACAGCATACGGTAAGGGTGTGCTTCAGATTACTTGATAATCTGATTAAGGTTTTTTCTAAATTGTCCAAGCATTTTGCTTCATGTATTTGCTCAGTTGACAATACTTTGCACTCTGGGTTTTCTGCATGGGGTGGAAAAAACAATTCTCCACTTCTAAGTATGAAGTAGGACAAATTTTACATTTTCAGTCACGTGGTAATGAAGTTGTCTGTTAATTTTTACTACATCTGTCTAGTAGCTATGTCTGGTATGCTCCAGGTTATTTGTCAGAACTTGATTTTTTAAAAAAAAAATTTAAAAAAAATCTTAAAAACTCAAACCATTTTTGAGAAACTTGGGAGGCTTTTCAGTTCACGTGTCAGTTATCTAAGCAATTACTTGTGGAAGAATAACTTGCCTTACTGATGAAGTGGAGACATGCTCTGTTTATTTCTTCTTCTTTCCCATTTCAGTTCTTTGTTCAGTCAATTTACTTAACATTTAAGTTTATTTATCTGTCATAAGCTTAAATTTTGCTTAAATATGACATATTTACCTCAGGAGAGAGAACTCCGAATTTCACTGCGTTAGTCAGCAGTACGTTTTAATTCTAAGTTTTTTCCATTTTGTACAACACAAAAGTTAAGTTTGTGTGCATGTGTGAGACAAATCAAGCAGAAAAGAACAAAACATATTAGCAGAGAGTATTATAAAAATAAAAATATAATCAAGTTTTAGGTTAGGTGTGACCTCTTTTCCAGTCTGATAGGATCACGTCATACACCTCACTTGTTCAGCATTTTTTAAACTTTCTTACTTACTTACCTATGCACTTTCAGGCCATCTGGAAAGTTGATGGCTGATTAGTCATCTAGATTTGGTTATAGTTGTCTTAATATTCAGCTCTGAAGAAGTTGGATAGATGTTTTTTGCAGGTTTATACCAAGAAGAAAAACTAGGGTGCAATAGAATACCTGTATCTTTCTCATTGGTTTTCTCTTTGTACTCTACTTTTTAGTGCATGTAAGATATCCTGCTGGGAGGTTTCCTGCATGTCTTGTTTCTCTTCCCACTTTTTTTCCTCTAGAAAAACATAATTTTTGAGTTTTTGTGAAGCTGCTTGCCTGAAAACCTGAGATTATCATCTCAAACATAGCTAATAATTATGTTCCTCCGTTGCTCAAGTAACAAGCCACCTTTTTCTGTACTTTCTACTGATTTGTGACTGCATATTGAACTATACCTACATCGTGATCTTGCAGAGCAAGCAGAAGCTGAATAGAGTGGTACTAGATCAATATTTAGATTGAAGGCCTCCAGGCAAGTAGAGGTCCCTTAAGACTTGCATGTGTAGGCTTAAAGCAAAAGCCAGTCTGCTATACAGCTGTCCTCAGTGTCCCATTGTCTTGTGTTTGGTGAACTGAAGGAAAGAAAAGAAATCAAACCCCACAAAAATACCTCAGATTACATATCTCAAGAAACAGAAGGGTAACTGCATTAGTATGAGCCCCAGCTAGGTCTGAGGGTACAGGATATCCTGAAGCTGAGTTCCCCCTGTAGCTTGTAGCCTGTGACCTTCATTTCCTCTTCCAAATCCCGCTGAGAAATGAGTTGACTTGCTGCCAAACAGTGGTCAAATTCCCTAGGAGAAGTGAAACTGCATTTAAAAGTGGGTCGAAACAACTTTGTAGCCCTTCTGTGACAGTAAAGCTAAGTTTTCTGTAGAAATTTCAAGTTCTGTAGCTAAGAAGAGTTTCTAAGACAAGTTTGGACAGATGTTTTTGATTAAGAAGTTTGAAAGGATGTGAAATAATGGTAGTGTATTTATTTCAAATATTAAGAGGGAACGGTGCTATGAGGAGTGAATAACAACTTACTGAATAATGCTTTATGAAACTGAGTAAGGTAATTACTTAACCAGTTAGTTTGTCCTGTTTGAAATAAAAAATGATTTGTGAATAGCGGATGACCAGATAAGCTGTTCAGGATAATTGGTAGAAATTGGTTCACTAGTCTATGAAATTTAATGCTCCTGTTATTTAGCTTTTTTATTTCTTTTAATCTTCTCTGATTGCTGTTAGGAAGCACAGTCCTGATTCCCATGTTCAAGAATAAATTTTAAGATTGTTTGATCTGACTGCTTCTACCCACCCCAAAAGCTTTTCAGTCGTTCCTTAGTTGTTCACTTGTTTTTACCATATATTCACCTCTCAGGTAGGTAAATCAAGTGGTTTCCTTTTAAAAGTTGTAGTCCAAATATACACAGTGAGAATTAGATTTTTATAGCAGTAAGCACTTACTTTACAAAAATTTTTGTGATTCTGTGCTTCTGCCCTCCCCTTTCTCAAACTAGCCTCTAGCTGCTTTTTTGTTCTGGTAAGCAGTCTCATAGAAGGGTTTTGGTATCAGTGTTAAATTACAAGGTCTAGCCATTTTACTCTGTCTTTGTGATCTGCATATGCCTTTATGTATGCTATATTTCTGCCTCACCATTTGCTGATTATTTTTTTGATACTTTTTTCCCTAGATTTTTTTCCTCCATCCATACCATGATTATATTAATGTTAAATCCCAGCTCCATTCTTTCATTTTTGTCTGCACAATGTACCATTAAGTGACTTTGGACCCCTTTCAGAATAGTCCCAATTATTAGTGCTTAAGATTCCATCTTCTCATCTTTAAAGGACAAAGGAGAACACAGTTATAAAGATAAGATGTATTTTGTGGCTCTGTGGAATAAACGTATCTCCTTTTATTTGGAAAAAAAGAAATCATAAGCTTTCTGAAAGTAATAGCCTTTCTTGTTTACTCTTGGATTTGCACAAGAATTGCACTAGTCATGGGGAAAAAAAACATGGTACTGCTAAATAACTGTGGCAAAAATACAGCTGATGTAAGGGCAGAGGAATCACTTCAAATGTGTGGAGAAATTTTCTATTACAGATCAGAAAGTTCTTTGCTTCTAAACCTGTGGAAAGCAGTTACAAAGGCATATGTAATTATTTTATTTAATTAAATAGAAAAATAATGTGAATTCATCATACCAAACTCATTAATCCTGTGGCAAGGGTAAATGAGCAAAGAACAATACTTTCTTTCATCTTCTTTGGCTTGTTGCCACTGTAATTGTACAGTTCAGTCTGATAGTGCTCTGTTTTTCCCCTCTTGCCCACTGTTCTTTTAACTAGCCCAGTTGTCTGTGTTACTGGAAGAAATTTGAACAAAAGAAAAGGGAAAGAAAAAAAATCAGAGCTCTTCCTTTTGTTGGCATTTGACACACAAACTCCTAGTATTTGTTGCTCTTCATGCAAAGAAAGTGCTGTGTCAGGCCAAAGAGATGGGTAGAGGCAATCCCCAATAGACTGAAGAAAAGAACAGGTGATTTATGGTGTTTTGTGCCTATGACAGAGAGGTTGAACCTGAATTTTTTTTAATTTTTATTTTTATTTTTTTGCCAGTGGAGAACCTGATTGTGGTGGAGGAGGTGCAAGAGAATCACAGAATGTCAGGGGTTGGAAGGGACCTCAAAAGATCACGTAGTCCAGCTCCGCTGTCAGAGCAGGATCCCCTACAGTAGGTCGCATAGGAACACGTCTTAGTACTGACTTACAGCTGTCCCTTTTGGGACTGCGCATCTAACGGACTGCTGCTCTGATAGGGATTTAGAACTAGGTTCATTATGGTTTAAGCAACTTCCTATTGTCTGAGCTGTTATAAAACATGCTTTTTATTGTTGTTGTTGCAGTGCGTGTACCCACACACTTCACCTTGAATATAGGATAAGTGTATGAGTTGTGGTGTGCTTTATAAATACACAGAAAGACAAGTTCCACATCCAGGGAAACTTGTATCTGAGGCTGAACAGAGGAGGGAGCATTAATGCACAGAACTGCTAATGACAAAGATTTGCACTGAGAAAGTGTCTATATATATATTCCAGTCTCATTCTTGTATCTATTTTTTGATTCTGTCTGACAGTGTGCCTTGCATTATTAAGCAATTTAACTTTTCATTTTCATTTGTAGATTTGAAGAAGACACTTGCTGTCTTGTTGGATAATATCTTGCAACGCATTGGGAAGCTAGAGTCCAAGGTGGAAAATCTTGTCCTTAATGGAACAGGAGCAAACTCTACCAACAATACTACCACACCTGCTCCCAGCTTAGGAGCAGTTGAAAAGCTTAATGTAGCAGGTGGGTATGGCAATTGTTTAAAGCATTTATGGGCTCTTTAATTTGTTTTTTTTTCTCCTAGGCCATAACATGATTTTTCAGTGCTAGATATTTGGAATGTCTTAGAAAACAAAACTAAAACTGTAGCCTGTATCAATGGCAGTCTTACGTGCAGTGGTCTCTTACAAGCTCAGAGACAGACTGTTCTGTGTTAACTTGAACACATTGAAGAAAAATTCTCTGCCACAGGGGTACAGTCTACCTTGTTCATATCAGATGATCCATACTTTAAATGTTTGTGCTTACAATGAAGCTGGGTAGATGGTTTCTCTCTGGGCCTAATAGCTTGGGCTGGTGTGAATCTGCTCTGTATATCTACCATACGCACTTCACCGGTTGTTAACTGAAAGAAAACACTCATCATGTTTGTTACTGGTCATGGTTTTAAAATGTCTTTCCCTTCTCTGCTTAATAGCTGTTATGATTTGACACACAGCCATGACCTACCTTGTACCTTCAGTATAAATATATGTTTTAAAATGTCATTTGAAGTCATTAATTTTGTCCTCAGTGGATGGACTGTTTGCTACCCTTACAACTCCTCAAAGCCTTTGAGTAATCCTGTGGTGGTAGAATGCCTTGCTGAACCTTCACCTCCATGGCTCGGTTCCTTTAGTGTTCCCAGCTGTGAATGAAAAGTGAGCCAGTGCAGTAGTGTTACAGATTCTGGGCTATATGTAAAATGAAAAACGTCCCTGTGTATTTTCTTTTTGTAGCTGGACAGGAGACACTTGACGCTGTTTTTTCAATAAATGTGCAGATAATTGGAGGAAGCGTACTCATGTTGTTGCTGTACTTTTATAAGCAAAGGATCATTGTTCTTACCTGACTAGGAAACATCTCTCATCAGTGCATAGGGTGGAGTGAATTGAAATTTTTTTGTTATTCTTGGAGTTTGCTAGATTCACTGTTTAGTGCTCACAAGCAGCATTTAAGGAGCTTGGTAGGAGTTCTGATTTTCCAGTGTTTACATAGCTTTTTGCTGCCTGAGGCTTGCTCTGTGGCAAACACCACTGTCTTGTTAGAGCTTCAGTTTTTTGAGTTTGACACTTGGTACACTAGATTTAATGTATCTGAAGCAATTCTATTCAACCTTTAGGAAAGAGTTGCGTAAGGTTTGAGTGATATATTGTTCTGGTGGCTGTTTGGGTAATGTTTCTGTTCAGGTGTCTCTGGGTAGAATAGAGTTTGAAGCTAATCCTTGTGTTAAAGTGCCTACTCTTCATCTGTTTGAAGCAGCCAGTGGAAATTCACGTAATCAGAGGCAGCCAAACAGAAATGAAAAACTTTTTTCTGCTTCTGTTGTCGTAACAGTAGCAAACTCTGGAAGCCATACGATTCTAGTAAAATCATAATATAAATATCTTTTCTGTTAGGAAGGAATTACTTAGAAAATAAGACAGGGCATCCCCTTTGTATTGTGCTAGAGCAATTGGGATAATCTGAAAACTGTTGTAGAGAAAACATTATGTTACTCAACAGTTTGCCAGTTTACTGGAGCTGAAACATATATGTATACAAATATATCATGCTTCCGTTGTTTTCTTCATAATAGTTTATTCAGCTGTTATACTACGAAGTGATGACACAAACATTTTATGATTACCTTTTCTGTCTTTGTCAATTGTAGTATTTTAATACTGGCTCTAGACAAATTTGCATTATCTGTTGGTAGTAATTTTACTGTTTTCTGTCTGGACAACTGTAGTATTTATGGAGAATCCTAACAACATCATCATATTTAACATTTTCATTTAACATTTTAATAGAGTTTTTTTAAGGACTTCTTGAGGGGTTTGGAGGTTTTTTGGTGTTTTTTTTTTTGTGGGTTTTTTTGCACGTGTGTTTTACCTCAGAATCGCTGCTTAAAAGCCTGAAGTAAATTAAGCATTTTTATAGCCTCATTCATCAGTGTGTCAGTGCAGTGTCATTTGCAGACTTTACTAGAAGAATCCTGCTTCCAGTGAAGCTACTTCATGCATTTATTGTTTTTGGATTGAGCTATCACAGTACACTGAGCTCTGATTCTCTAATCTATATAACCACGTCCTTTTACCTGTGGAAAGCCTTTCTGAAATAAATGAAGTTTTGTGCTGGCTTAAACTTCATGTTAGCATCCGTTGACACTGCTTGTAAACCTTGTTTATATGTAGTGGAGCCACTAATTGTCCTGAAATCTGCACTTTGTCCTCACTGACCTTGTGTAAAGTTTACTGTGTATCTACCTGAGTAGTGATAAAATAAGACATAATAGAGTGCCCGGAAAGTAATGAAAATGAAAAAAATTGGCCTCATTGCTGATTATAACTGGACACAAACTCAAGAGCAAACCGTAATATTTTTCTCAGAATTTAAAACTGACTACCATGACAGGCTAGACTTGTTATCTGAAAGTCCTGTGAGTTTTTCTTCATTGTTTATTTTAAAGATCACTTGCAGGGAAAAAAGATAATAGTAACTCTTAAGTCTGCAAACTAGGAACAACAGAGATTATGATGGTTACTCAACATTTCTGCTCACAAAGCCTCTATGCAAGCAGAATTTTCTTTTATGAGGTACATTGCTGTATTCAGAAAGCAGCCCTAGTAATGGTAACTATATGCTACAGGTGGAGGATCATGATAATGCAAGAATCCCGGAATCTTAGAATGGTTTGGGCTGGAAGGGACCTTAAAGATCACCTTGTTCCACTCTCCTGCCTATGGGCAAGGGCACCTCCCACTAGACCAGTTTCCTCATAGCCCTGTCCAGCCTGGCCTTGAACACTTCCAGGGAGGGGGCTTCCACAACTTCTCCATTCCAGTGTCTCGCCATCCTCATAATGAGGAACTTTATGTCTAATCTAAAGCTATGCTAGCTTAGTTCCAGGGTCAAGTTACTGAAATCAGTCCAGATCACGGTTTTATTGATGAACACAACTGGTATGTGACTATGACTCAGATTTATGGTTTGCAAAAATATTTTCTATGAAATTAAGGACACTGGCAGTTGGAACAGATATGGACTTGTGTTTTGGTTTTTTTAAAATTCCACTTCTATCCCCTTTTCTGTATAGACAACTGGAACAGTAGTATAAAAAGTGAGTATTTATAGTATTAGAATATATGGATGTTTTCTTCACTTCGTATATACATTGTTTTTAGCTTAGCTCGGGTGTGAATCTGAGTGTTACTATGTAAGTAATCCAGGTAAAAATGAAGAGAAAATATGTTGAGAAATGCTTGTCAGTTGCAAAGTAGTTGAAAAATCAGTTTGTTTAAAATGCTTGCATTTCTCAATGAACTGAGATCAGAGGGTATTCAATTTTATGCGCAGCATACATCTTGATGGTAAAATATCTGTTGTTCCAGGAAGTTCTTTCTTATAATTAATTAACTTGCAAGGTTACTTCTTCTAGTGCACAATATTTGAGGTAAAACCACCTTCAGTTACCACTGTGTTTTGATACTGCAACATGGAATCTATCATAGAACATTTTCGATTGGAAGAGATCTTCAAGTTCATAGAGTCCAACGTTTGTCCTGGCTCTCTCAACACCACTAAACCATGTGCCTCAGCACAACATCCACCCATCTCTTAAACACCTCCATGGATAGTGACTCAACCACCTCCCTGGGCAGCCCATTCCAATGCCTGACAACCCTTGCAGTAAAGAAATTCGTCCTAATATTCAACCTGAACCTCCCCTGGCACAACTTAAGGCCATTTCTCCTCATCCTATCACTCACCCACAGGAAGAGCAGAACAACCCCTACCTCTCTACAACCTCCTTTCAAGTAATTGTAGAGAGCGATAAGGTCTCTCCTCAGTCTCCTCTTCTCCAGGCTAAACAGCCCCAGATCCCTCAGTCATTCCTCGTGCGACACATGCTCCAAATCCTTCACTACTTGGTAACCCTCCTCAGTACCCTCTCCAGCACCTCAATGACCCCCTTGTAGCGAGGGCCCCAAAACTGGACACAGTGCTTGAGGTGAGGCCTCACCAAAGCCAAGTACAGGGGCATGATCACCTCCTTGCTCCTGCTGACAACACCATTCCTGACCCAGGCCAGCATGCCGCTGGCCTTCTTGGCCACCTGGGCACACTGCTGGCTCCTTTTCCGCCCGCTGTCCATC